ATTCAAAATAAAATGAATGAATGGAGCCCCATGTACTAGGAAGAGGAAGGAAAGCTCACTTCTTTGAACTGATAACTTATGATGCCCTGTACATAAGGGTTTCCCAAGTATTAAGCACCAAGCCAGTGGTCAGTCTGGAGATATAAAGGTCCCCATGGGCAGAGTGATTATACATTCCACTTTTCCTGGTTTATGACTGCTGCCCTACATGCCCACAGTTAAATGATATAGGTCCATCCTCTCTACAGACTATCTGCCACACTCATCAGATACACACATTTGTGAACTCTCATACACAGAGGAGGAGCAGGGGACTACATATAGAGTTTTTCATTTCATAAAAACTAAATTGTGCTGGGCCTGATAGCTCATACTGTAATACCAAAACCAAGAAGGTTGAGATACGAGGATCACCTTGAGTGTTCTGAGTTCAAGGCCAGCCTGCCCTACATAGTGAGCTTGCAGAGCTACATAGTAAGTTAAGATCCTGTCTCAAACAGAATTTTATGTGTGATTTTCAGCATCAGTTGTATGGATAGACTGTAGCCTAGCTTGCCTCATGTACAGGATGGAGATGATCACAGGCCTCTCTTAGGTATTTATTTATTCTTTCACTGTTGAACTGAAGATGGAGCCTGAGGCTTTATGAATACTAGGCAAGTGCTCTACCATGGAGCTATGACCCCAGTCCTTTCTAGTCTACCTTGTATTTAAAAAAAAAAAAAAGTCTTCCTATGTTGTCCAGGCTGGATTTGAATTCTTTCCCTCACTCAACTGGGCCTTTAACTTGGCCATTCTCCTGCCTCAGCTTCCCAAGAGGCTGGGATCCCAAGCATCTGTCACCAAGTCCATCTCCCTTGGGGCTTTGACCTGACTTGTCCTTGGGCAATAATATGACCCAAAGCATAAGAGCACCCTCTATGGATCACTTTCTGACCCTGGGAGGAAAAAACTTGGTACCAGATTTTTAAATACATAATCTCATATAGTCTCGGCCATCATGGATGCACCTGGTTCCTAGAAACCTGAGCTTCACTGTTGACCCACCACGTTACTGCCAAACAACGCCAGACCAGGCCACACCTGGCTAGCCCAAACTGCTGAGACTGAATGCTCCAAAGTCAACCCCAGACCCAGAGGGACTGAAATGGCACTCTATGAGGCGTGAGGAAGCACGGTACAAAGCCGCTGACTCACCTAGACTCCCTTTCTGCTAGGCTTCCTTCTCGCCACCCACGTCAGAACTCATCCACACTTGCACTTACTTGAATGTGACTGAGTAACACAATTTCATTAAAGATCATCTTGGGACAAGGAAGATGTAAAGGAAAATGTTATCAGAACTTGTGTCGTGCGAACAGTCTGAAGGCCTCCTTCCGCTTAAGTCACCCCCACCTTCAAGCCATGTGACTTTAGACCCCACTTTGCCACCGGGCAAAAATTGGTCAAGGTCTCCCAGTTCTGAGATCCAGTTTGGGTAAACGAAACAACTTATTGTATTAAATGGAGGTTTCAGTGTGAAATCTTGGAACGAAGGCATTAAGCTATTGTTATCATTGTTTTATTATTGTTGTTATCATTATATCATTATTATTATTACAGCCCATCAGGAAAAGACAATGACCATTACATCTCAAATGTTCAAGATTTATGTTGTACACGATTTTTTACAAGTTTGACGAATCTAAAAAGGAGCGAGGAGGGATAATTTCTGTCTAGAACATGGGTGTCAGACAATGATCACCAATCTAACGCTTAAAGTGACAAGAATTTCAATCCCTCAACGTCTACTGGGAAGGTAAACCCCAGTTCCCATGTCCTCGACCTTCCTAGGTTTTCAGTACCACACCCTTTCAAAGACTGGCATCTCAAATACATCCTGGTTTCTGCCTCCTCACCATAGGGCTGTCTTTCCGGAATCACTGCTGTTCCCCTCACAGCACCATCAGTCAAACCTCCTGTCCTACGCCTTCCTCATACTCTGAATGTAGGTGGCTATGTGGTGATAGTTTCCCCCAGAGCCACTTTGGGCACACAAAGACCTTAGGAGCTGGCACCGAGGCTCATCTTACTGAAACCAGGCTACCAGTGATAAAACCCAACCACGTTCTTCAACATTTGGAGTCAACCCCTTAACTATTCTATGACTTGTCCTGCGACCTCCCTTCGCTTACCTTAAGTTGCAGGTATCCCGGAAACTGAGCTGCAAGAGGGGAAAAATGCCGAAGAAGCTCAGAGACAGTGAAAGCTCTGCTCTCTGGGCCTGGGGAACAGTGCTCACCTGTGGCCACACCCAGGCCTCCCAGCCTGGCCCCGCCCAGCCTGAGCTGCCTGCACCACCCCACTGCCGAGCTCTTACTCATGATTCTTGGCAGCCTGTGCAAGATTGGAAGACATGATTCAGGCCGAACTTGCTGCTGCTGTCTGCACTGTTTCTGATGGCCTGCGACAAGCACGGGCAGGAAGGTTCTGTTGGTGGATCCTGCCCTGAGCTAAGCATGCACATGTATAAGCAAATAAAGGCAAGCAACCATACCTGCCAAGGCAGCACCAGAGGGGTGAATGGCAGGAAATAAGAGCAGAATAAGTGCTGATAGAAATACTACAAATTCTACCTGTGACCTCCATCTTTTCTGTGTAGACTGCTAGAGCGCCATCGCTCATTCTGATAGCATACACAGCATTACAGGCAAAACACGCAATACTGAATTGATTAGGAGAGATAGCTTAATAGAATTGCAAGGGTGGGAGTGTCCTTGTAGAAGACACACTGTGCTCTGAAACATTTTCGGGGAGCCTGGTCTGACAATTCCAGGTCTCCCGCCGCTCTTTGATCAAAAGCGGGATCCGGTTCTTTCCTACCCTGTTGTCAGAGACGCTCCTGAAAGTGAGCCAGATTGCTTTTCCATTGCTGTCACCCATGTTCCTTGTAGTTCACGTGCTAGTTTGTTTCATCATAACCTTTTGACTTGAGCGTCCTCCACACTGACTACTAGAATTTGAAAGATCAGGGCCAGCTTCGCTCATTTCTTAACAGTCCTTGGTTTCCTGGTGATTTACTATGCAGTTAATGAGGGCTTCTTGACTCAATCAACGAAAGGTAGATAGGTTCTCCTTCCCGCTTGTCCTGAGTCCTATTAGCCAAGACCAAACTCATAACAACAACAACAAAAAAGAATTAGTTCAACTCTGAAAGCAGCATTTCAGCCATCAACGAGGCAAGTGAAGTAAGATCATGAAGATAGAGATATGGACAGTGCAGTTCACACAATACTGGTGTCTAGCTGAAGTGGAGGAAGCATGGGTTTAGGGCAGTCTTAAGTTTGCAAACTGTCCCTACCACTTACTGTTGGAGAAATCCTAAATAGCATGCTTAATCTCTCTACCCCTCGATTCTTCACAGTTGTGAGGTGAAATATTTATGCACATATATGACAGCAGTTAATATCACTTTCCCTAGTCCTCATAATAAGCTCAGAGAATAATCACAAAAGGCTGGACAAGGGTATTAATATCTAATTCACCACCACTGTTTGCTCACCACTGGGCTGTTCCCTGATTGTTACCATGATCCAAAGGCCTCTAGAGATCTTAAATCTTAACTCTCAGTGCTTGGTCAACTCTCCCTTTTTCCTGTTTTATTTCCTCTGCTACATTCATGTTCATTCTTTGCCGGTCCTAGAGAGATGGTAGTAGTTCAGAAACCCCTGAGGATCCCAAACTTAGCGTGATTAGGATTGTTTGAAAGTTAGAGGTACTACATACTTAGGAACGTGTCATGTTCTCTCTCCCTGGAGGTCTTAGAAGTAACACAGTAGGAAGTTAATATCTAAATGAATTAAAGTACTTGATGATACATAATAAGAGACATAAGATTTGTGTAGGACTATATACACAAATGTAGTCCAGAGATGAGTACAAGTCTTTCAGCATTCAAGTGCTCAGGAGGGGTGGAGACAGGGTCCTTGGACATCAGAGGACCAGACAGGTCTAGAAACAAAGAATGACAAGTGAATAGTTACAACTTAAAACAACAGATTAGACAGATATGGCAGCAAGCAGCTAAACAGAGCTTTCCCTTACAAAAGCACTCATTTCTGAAGTGCCTCTGGACAATCTACTCAAGTGTCTGTACCTTCTGTTTGAGGTCAATATTGTATGTAACATCTCTGACAAGAGCAATTACTGATGAAAAACAAAGTGATTCCCCTTCATGGTTAGGGGAATTTATATTTTGATTCTACTTGACTAAAAAGAAGTTTTCCTATGTGTGTTTCTCTATGGTGGCAATAAATAAATATTCTTAATTTTCACATTAAAAGATACTAAAAAACAGTTAAGTAGGAAAGAATAGAGTTCTAACTCTACAAGAATCTCATATGTCTAAACTCACACATTTCCAAACAAGCCTGTAGAAAACACAACAGATTCACTGTAGGAGAGAATGTCCTAGAAAGAATCTCTGCTGTCTGCATGCAAGTTCCTACTCTGCCCCCTCCCTTCTAACTGAGCCCTCTTGACAGGAGTCTTGGTTAATTAAACAGTGCTCTATTGAGTGTGCCATATATAACCAAGACCCTAGAGCACCTAGACACCAAGAAGAAGAAGACCTAGATACAGTTCTCAAGGGGGCTTTAGCTCAGCTTTAATGCCTGAGTCTGACATCTGTGGTCTTTATTGTAATGTGAAAATCCACAGCCTGGAGGGAAAGCCTGGAAAGGACACTGTTGTTGGTGATGTTAGTTAGCAAGGACACGCAGAGGAATGGCACTTGTTTTGAAAATCCTATATTTTAATGCCAACATAAAACCATTTATATGAAACCTGATGAGAGAGAGGAAAACTAGAGGCGAGGTGAGAAGGAGAAGGGAAGAGAGGTGAATATGCCCCAAATGTATATATTCTTGAAAGATCGTCTTCATGAAACAACACTATCCAATGGATTCACACCAATATGATTAAAGTGTTGTAGTCCTAGGTCTGCAAGGACAACTGTATCCACATAGCATCGTTATAGTCATCAATTCCTTGCTGTGTAGCCTCATAAAAATCCAATTCTTGAGCACTGTTGATATTCCATCCAGCTTGAATAAAATTTGAACCTTTGAGAAAAAGATACAAAATTAAATTTGACAGTTTCTCCTATACCATACCATAGTTTATCCCACAACACTATATGGTTAAGTCGGCGTGTACTCTTGGTTGCCTTTTAAAACCTAAGCAGGGTCTTGGTTAATTAAACAGTGCTCTATTGAGTGTGCCATATAACCAAGACCCTAGAGCACCTAGACACCAAGAAGAAGAAGACCTAGATAGAATTCTCAAGGGGGCTTTAGCTCAGCGTTAATGCCTGAATCTGACATCTGTGGTCTTTATTGTAATGTGAAAATCCACAGCCTGGAGGGAAAGCCTGGAAGTTGGGTTGCAGGTTTTTCTGAGTGGTCCCTGGTACAGTGGATGTGGTTGATAACCTCTCTGTGGAAGACGTATGTAGTACGGATACTGCTAACTCAATGATGAATGCAATTCATGCATTTGAAAGCAGGTATTCCCTTAAACACAGTTATCTTTCCCTCAGAGCTCTTTATGGATTCTCAAGACCACTCCATCTGAGTCACCCAACCATGTTCCATTTCTTTGAAGAAAGTTTGGTGGGAAAGAATATAGTTGTTTGTAGAAATTTTCTTTGTTTTAACACTCCCAAAACGATTCATAATGGTCTCTCTCCTATATAACACAAAATCCATATTACAGACATTCACATCAAAAGAGTGGGTGGACTTTGGGGATAGAAGGTAGAACCACAGCTTAAAAAAATGAACTATCCATCCATTCATTGTGCACTTTTAACAAATGACAATTTCCTTTAGTTCAACAAAAGTAGTGGAACAAATATTTAATAACCTAGGTGACTGTTTGGTTGGTGGTTTTTCTTGCCTATGGGTTTAAACATTACAAGCATTATGACTGGATTACCCAGCATTCAGGCTGAGGGATGACTAGACACACCTAGCCACTCCCAACAGCAACTCAAAGGAGCTTTGTTATAGCATGTTCTTTAATGTTCTCTCTCTCTCTCTCTCTCTCTCTCTCTCTGTGTGTGTGTGTGTGTGTGTGTGTGTGTGTGTGTGTGTGTGTCTCCTCCCCTCTCTTCTTCTTCTCTCTTCCTACGTCTCTCTTTTCTAAGAAAAAAGTTTCAGCCATACACTCCTGGCATTCTCCTGAGACGTCTATAAATCACCAGGAGTTTTAGCTTCACTGGTAAATGTTGTTCCTGTTGATTTGTATGATCTTTCCCCAGCAAAAAAGCTTTGCACTTTTCCAGCAGTTCACAGGAAGTTCACAAGACTCACACCTACTCACCAAGGACTTTTCTCCTGTGAAGAAACTGAGTCAGGCAAGATATTTATATGTATATATCCCTAACTGGGTTTTTATTTTGTTACTTTTTTGAGGTAGATCCCACGCAACCCAGGCTGGCTGTGATCTTCTATGTAATGGAGGCTGGCCTTGAACTCCTGATTATCCTGCCTCTACCTACTGGCTGGTAGGGTGACCAGCATGTGCTGCCCTGTCTGGCTAAGCCTCAGATCTCTAACTCATGAATCTACGTTCCACTCTGGGCAGTGATCTTCTCCTTGCTGTGTGATGTAGCTACTCCATTGGGAGAATACAAATTCCATGTTTTTTGTATTATCAAGTTCCAGGTTTTTCCTAGGAGAAGAAATCTTATATTAAATTATAACTAATCCTAGAAAATAATGGGTGAAAACTTTTACTAAGATTCATACTTAAAGAAACAAAAACCGAAGCTGGATAAGACAAGACTTAGAGTTAACTCAGCTGCCAGATTTGACCTCCAGCTTCCCCGATGCTACAATTAAAACATGAAGACGCAATGCTTCCCTCTAAAGAACCCATGGTCATCACTAAGTTTAAATCAGTAAGTTCAATACAAAGGTGTTTCTATGTGATGAGAGGACCACACCCAGGGCCATGTGTGAGAATGTATTAGTAAGGCCTTTTGTATGTGCATTGCAAGAGCCTCTTATATAAGGCATTTATTTTATTTCTAATTTTGGTTTCTGAGACAGGGTTTTTTAATGTAGCTCACCATGAAGACCAGGCTGAACTTGAACTCACAGAGATCCACCTCCCTCTGCTTCCCAAGTGCTGGGATTAAAGGAGTACACCACCATGCCCCACCTCATAATGTTTATATTTTATAAAATTGTATAAATAAAAAGGAAAACAACACA